AGCTGCTGTGCCAGAGTTGATCCAGAGCCTTCGGTCTTATTTTGCACGGATTTTCTTGGATGAGGCTGGGGAGAGTGGTCACTACCTAGTCACACCGTGGGACCCTCGGACCCTTCCCGAAGGGAGATCGGGCGAATGGGGTGAGTGGAACGACATATCCTGAACCTGTTGCGTTTGTCCGCTTGGGCTCACAACATGCTTGTGGGTGATGTAATGTGGGCGACACGTCAACATGTCGGTGAAGGGGAAATCGCCTATTTCTGGGGGCAGCTCAGTCAGGTCCCTGGACGCATACCCGCCGGGCCGCGATGACCTGCAGGCCGGGATCAAACGGGCAACCATAGGGGACCGTGTGCAAGATAGCAAGGACCAGGAAGCAACCCCCAAACACGAAGCGAGTTGGTGTCCGTGTTTGTGTCCTCCCAACGGGCGAGGAAGCAAGGTACACCAGGGACGACGGCGTCGGGTTTTCCAGTCCGCGGTGGAGTGGGGGTCCCTATGGACCGAGGGCGTAGCGTCCCATGTTCCGAGATACGGACCCGCGATGCCGAACGGGTGGTTCGGGATGAAATGTGACCTCTCGTTTCTCGAGGCCAGGACATACAAAAGGAGAAAGACGACCCAAACAGCGATCCGCGCAGTGAACTCGCAAACGAGAGCCTTATCTCGATTGTCAACGTCAGGGAGCAGCCCAAAACAAAGAGACGGGCGTCAGGAGCGGGCTCGTAGGTAGACAAGAGAGCGAAGTAGGGTCCTTGGTAGCGTATCGGGTCAGGGTCCGTCCCCGCAAACGGCTCCCATCCACTATCAGCGGCCATCGCAGACAGAGAGGCAAGCCCAAACGACACAGACAGTCACCAGGTGTAGACCATATGCGGCAGATGTCAAATTTGACAAGTCGAACCGGGCAGCTGCCGTCTCTGAATGCCGGTCACTAGCCCCTGATGCACCCAATCGGGGGGCGAGGCAGAGAAAACAACAAGTTCCTGACAGCTACCCCTGAAAAGCCACCGCGCCAAGGCCAGGCGATCGCAAACGGTCAAAGGAATCCCAACAACACCGGGGCCAGGGCAAGGGATGCGACTCCGAGATGTGGCGGTGGACATGCAGCCTCCCGCGGCCGAAACAGCGGTTGGCTGCGGCTCGAGCGGGACCCTGGCCCAGGCGTTGTAGGGCAGCCAGGTTCTGATCTGGTTTTGCTGTGCTGGACAGCACTGTGGACGCTGGCGTCGGCCTGATTAGGCTGAAGGCGCGGTTGAGGCGGACTATCGGGGCGGGAAACGTCCCACGCTCACGTTGCGAGCACCGGTTGGACACGGTCCCTCCACAACGTCCGCGTTTGTGTTTCCCGGAGAAGTTAAAACAGACGATCGCTCTTCCTCGAGTGGTCAAGGCATCGACAATCTGGAGAGACCAAAGACCCGATGCCTATTTCGGCAGTCCACCCACAGCGCCGCATCCATCCTCGTCCTGTAGCTGCTCCCCAGTTGTCCCGACAGCCGTGATACGAGTCTAACCGGACCGAGCAAGACGCAGCTTCTCTCCAGCCTTGCCCTTGCGACCGCTCGTGCAAAGAAGCAGATAGCGTAGCAAACGAACCTCTGCCCTTGCCTGGCGGCTCTGCAAGCCACCCCCAGCCACGCTGGTCGACATCTGTCGGTCTCATACCCTACCTGCAGATCCAAGAACAACTGCCGGGGCACTCCCGGAGCCGCTGCGGCATATCCGCCGGGGGATGTGGTCCGGACGAGTTCAAGGTCGGAAGACGGGCCATCCGAAATTGCCCGTCGGCAGCGTACGGAGTGTGCTGATCTGGTGCTGATGTGTGGCCGCGTGCTGAGTCTTGCCGATCGAATCCCGATATCGAATCGGATACGTCTCGCCCAGGCGTCTGGTCCCGACCCAAGCGGTGACGGTTCCTCGACATCCACCTTATTCCGCGAGAAAAAAAAGGCCGATTTGGTTTTGCTGCCGACACTCCCTGGGCGCTAGCTCGTTTGCATCCAAATTCCAGCCAATATCCGCAGCCAGCGGACGCTGGGAGCGAACATGGAAGATCGATAGGCTCGGGGCCCTGCGAGGGCCATTTCTGGTCGGTGAAGGCGACGTGTTTGTGGCCCTGGAGCTAGGCCTATCGTAGAAAAGGGAGGCTGCGGCACGCACCAGAGTTTGATGATGGCGCACGGCGTGAAGCAAGAAGTAACCGCCCGTTTTGTTGCTGGATGAAGTTGTGGGTTCACTGCAGTCGACTTTGCCGTCAACGACGAGGGCGCGTTGCGTCGTCTGGATTTTACGGACGTAACAACCCGCTTTCCAGCAAATGCAGTGCGCGCCAGGGTTGGCAGGGCCCCCCAGCGCCCCTCCCGAAGCCTGGGCCAGATAAACGGCAGTTAGTGCTCCAGGCTGCCTGGCCCCTGTCTGGCAACTGCCAGCCATGCGGGGTTCGCGGCGGGCAAGGCAGTCGGCGGCATGAACACGAGCAGCACGCGCCAAAAACAGACATTGCATTGCTTCATGCCGCCGCCAGCGCCGCACATTAGCCACCTTCCGGCCTCTCACGACGCTGTCTCTGCCGGACGCTGCCATGGACGCCGACGCCCTGATCAGGACCCTACGGGCATATGACGCCGCCGTCGATGCAACGGCGGTGAAGGCTGCATTTGACAGCGAAGACAGCCACGCCGTCGCCGCCTGGGTCGCCCGCCATCTCGCCCCCGACACGCTGCTGTCGATCGATGAGCTGAATCAGTAGGGTTCATTGCCCTCCCCTGCACAGTGACCACCCGACCGGGACGGGGGGCTGACGACGTCCAGGTTCAACGCGCTCGAGAAGGCCGGTGTGGTCGACAAGCTGGCGTCGTCGACCGATCTCGCGGCCGCTCACCCGCTGGGCGAGACCGAGATCAGAGACGCCATAGACGAGCTGAGGCGCTCCACCGAGGCCATCAACAAACAGACCGAGGCGCTCAGACAGCAGCACGAGGCCCTCGATCGCCTCGTCAACGCTGGCCAGAAGGACAGGGATGCCCGCGCTGACCTCGACCTTGCACAGCTGCAGAAATGGGACGCGAAGCGCAAGTCGGCGGTCCTGGCTGTATGTTAGACTTTGCTACCCAGATGAATGACGAGTTGATTGATCTCTTACAGGTTGAAGAGCTGTCTCAGAGGCTGGATTCCAGAATTGCGGAGCTGGAACAGCAGACGACGGCAGGAAGGGACGTCCAGGAAACAGCGAACGCCTTGTTCCATTCCGACGACAGGCTTCTCTCCAGCCTTCAGAAGCTGGGATGGGAGTTGGAGACCGAGGACCCCGAAGAGCAAGACAATGTCGTCATGCTGCGTGAGACATGCGCCCGGTTAGCATGCGTCCCTCCCAGTTCCCTGGAGGATAATAGGGGACTGACTTCCTTATAGGCTGATCAAGTTCATGGTGGAGGGGCTCCGGGCTAGACTCGATCGCATCTACCTAGAGGCCCTCAACTCATCGATGCGATCGGGTGCCACCAGGCGCGTTTCCCCCGCCGAAGTTTCTGGCCTCCAGGAGGAGCTCGAGTCGCTGTACGCCGAAATCCTCCCCGTTGCTCAGATGTCTGTCGAGCAACAGTTTCTCGAACCGGCCCTGAAAACCCTTGCCGATAAGCACGGAAAGGGTCTCGCCAGGTCAGAAGAAGCCGTTAGTTATGTTTGTCTCTCCGGTCCCTCCGGTTGCCGTGTTGAGCTGACTATTTCTCATAGTTGCACGACTGTCTTGACTACCTCCTGGACCGCACACAAGAAACCTCGAGAAGGGTCGAGTTGATTCAAGCATACCAGGTTGCCGCTGCCGCAATGACTGAAGTTGCCAGGTCCGAGCTGGCTGTCCAGGTTGATTTGCCGGCCAAGAGAGAACGTTCTGCCACGGCAGCGTCCCCGGCTCGACGTCGAAAATCAAGCGGCCAAGGTAATGCCGTGTCCCCTGTTCGTGCTCGCGGGCAGCCTGGACGGAGGCGATCGTCCGGAGTGGGAGCGATCGGTGACGAGCCACCCCTCGACGAAATTCTTCGAAATCTTGCCATCAGTCTGCCGCAGGAGGAGTCAGGGTCCAATGACGCGCACGCGCAGGCCCTGACGTTGGCTTCCACCTTGGCGGAACGGCGTCACAAAGCTGATGATGTCGCCCGTAACGCGCAGGAGTCGTTTGAATCGGCCACCATGAAGCAGATGGCCGATGCCAAGCTCGCCATCCAGCTGGTGCGTGATTCGGTCCTGGCTGAGAGCCCCTGGGGAGAAGTCCGACTCGTGGACCCCGAGATAGACGAGTCGATTGCCGTGCTATCCCAAGAGATGGATGATGTGCGGGCAAAGGTGGACAAGACAGAGGCAGAGCTTGTTAAGGTCAGGGGAAGGTCCGTAAAGAGAGATGAGCTGATCGAGCGATGGGGGTCTCGGTAGCGCCGAGCCTTTTGTCGACAGTAGACCTAGCAAATGGCGTGTTTGCGCATGTGACCATAAACCTCGAGATGGCCATACAATACGTTTGAAACTATCAGATGAAATCTCATAAGCGTTGCCTGAGAGATGCCATCCCACGAATAAGTGTATCGTCTCCGCTCGCGATGCGAGATCGTAAGCTTATTACGGACCAGATCTGGCTTCTATCGTCCCTCCTCAGCAGTCCATCACCGCCGGGAGCAACATGTTTCGGTCCGAAACCCGAGATGTCTCGCCCATGTTACCTTTACCCAGCCATTTTTGAGGGTATAGGTAGTTGCGCTGGAGAGCCGAGAAGATGAGATACCTTGTTTCAAAATCCCCAAAAAAAACAAGCGTTTGATTTTTGTTGGTTACAAGATGGAGCCCGCCGATGATGCTGCTGCAAAACATCCTCCGGCGTCGATGTTCTTTATTGGGTGCTCTATGATGCGGTCTGTTGTGGCATTTATTTGAAGGAATGCAGACGCAAAAAAGGAAAGAGTCATTATCAATCCTGGGGATGGATGATGATGATGGGTTTCTTTGCTTGCTCCGTAACAGGATTGAACTGTTGACCTTCGCATTTACTCAATACAGAGACGAATCTCGGTATTAGTACGACGCTCTAACCAGCTGAGCTAACAGAGCTTGGTGGGTTTGTTGAGGATGAGGTGTTTTCAAGTGGGTTTTGAATTTGTGGACGTGGTGGAGTGGATGGGTCGTCGGCTGTGGATGGGATGCTCCACGGAGCTGGAGGGGCTGCTGGTGGACTTTTCTGCGGCATTATCATTGTGGAAAGCTCCAACATTCTAGATATGGATTTCTGGGTCAATGGGAGGGATTTCTGGATTCTGTTCTGCCAAAGGCTACTGGTCTGGCAGAGCTCCATCTTCCCGTACATGTTGGAGATGGGATTAGAGCTCTACTACCATGTATGAGAGTTCATGATGCAACAACAAAACTTGTCAAATCGGCATTTGGCTAGTGAGACTTCATAGGATATCGTACTGGTGCTCATGAACCATCGCAGCTTGCTTGCTTACATGTAGGTCGAGTGAAGTGAAGCTCTAAAACGTGACCAAACTGTTGCGCCTCAACTGCTTCACCCCCCTTCACTTCGGTATCCCGTAGTTCTGAGTCTTCGCAAAGTGCATCCCCGCGGCAAAATGAAACAGCTTGGCCGCGACAATCATGCGCGGCTGCTTCGAGTACTCGACCAGCCGGTCGTAGAACTCGGCCAGCGGGACAATAACACGCTCAATGTGCTCGCCGTCCTCGACTCGCTGCTCGGGCGGCTCGTCGCTGCCGTCCAGCTGCACCTCGACCATGGCCATCTGCATGTTGGTGTTGCTCATGCCCGGATCGGCCGCTTGCACCGGGCTCATGCTGAGCACCTTGCAGTCGTAGCCAGTCTCCTCCTTGAACTCCCGCACTGCCGCTTCCTCGGCCGTCTCGTCGGCGTCGATGAGCCCGGCAGGCCACTCAACCGTGTAGGCGTCCAGTGGTGGGCGGTACTGGATGACGATCATGGTCGAAGGGGGGCGGTCCGGGTGAAGGAGGACGTTTCCGATAGCCACGGCGTCGACACCAGCCTTTACGGCGCGTGTCTTGCGCACTGCTACCTCCCAGGTGCGCGCCTTGCCGACCTGGTCGACAAACTCAATCTTCTTGAGAGCCACCCATTTCGCCTCCGAGTTCGGCAGGTCTGAGATCCTCGTGATGACGGGCTCCTGGGTTTTGAGTGGAGGCGACATGCTGAATTTCCGTGCTGCGGGGAGGCCGGAACACCAAAAGATTGGGCGGGAGGATACTGAAAAGAGTCGTTGAGGAATCGGAGAGCGCGGGGTTTGGAAGAGCATGGAGCAGCGTGAAGTGGGTGCCTGCACAAATTCAATCGACCTGTCGGATGTGGTGAGGTGAGTAATAAAAGGGGAGGAACATGGGCGATGCTTCCCTCGCGATGACGGCTCGACTGATCCAGGGTTAGGGTAGAGATGGGCGCCAAGCGAAAAATAGCTCGTGGCTTTGCCAAGCTTTGGCATTCGCGAGGAAGTGTGGAGAACATCGAACACCGGAAATCACGGCAGCAACAAAAAAGTGTTTTAGTGCAAAAAACATAGCCATCTCCTCCAGTAAGGGTCGAACTTACAGCCTCCAGATTGCGTTGGAACATCCGAGATGTTACCATAACAGTCTGACGCGCTAGCCAATTGCGCCATGGAGGATGTTGATTGTGGATGTTGGTAACGCTCATTTTGAGGGTTCTGAGTTCTCCTCAGCCTGGGAATTGGGATTCGGATGCTGCTTGACGTTGAGGTTGTATCCAACCCTCTCAATCACTTCCAAACCTGGACAACTCAAGACTATACAAATAGTTTCGGAATGAACATTACACAACCGGCAGGCACTGCGAGAACATGGCTTGCATGGTCAGCAATCGGCGTTTGTGTTCCCCGAGAACGCGTTCCCCGGTTCCACGCAAATCAAATATGCTCCCGGTCATCCATCTCGAGCTGAAATCACGACCACCAGTTCAACTGCACACCATTTTTCCGTGCTGACCGGTCGCCGTGTAACCCCGGGTGTTGGACTTCAGCAAGCCTCGTAAGGTTGAGCTGCGCCAATCACGAAGCACCCGGACCAATCCGGTCAGAAGCCGCCACATCACAGGCAGTGGTTGATTTTGACAGGCCACACCCTCTGAAATGTTTAGCTTTCAGCCCTGATGCACCTCGCCGTGCGCTTGCTGCGGCTATGGGCCGATGGATTATTCCGAGACCTCCCGAGTTAGCTCCCTCATAACAGAAAACAAAGTACCCAAGACCCGTCTCAGCTTCCTTTTCAGTTTCTAGCACCTGTCGTGGAAGTATACGCCTTTTTCTGTTCGGATGGTCAGCTCGATGCCGACGAGACCTGGCCGCCAGAGCACTTGGCGGTACAAAAAGACGGCATCCCCCAGGTAAAAGGCCGCTGGGCGGTCTGCATTGGTATGGTGAACAAAACGCCTAATAATCAATAACCAAGTCCAGGGTCGCCATCATGACGTTCCTGAGGTCGTGCATCGACTTCTTAACCCATGTTCTCGCCACGCCCCTTTTCTCGCCTGAGAACTTTGGTCGGGTTGACCAGATCCCCCTTTCACTTCCCCACGAACACGACCACACGCTGGGCCTCGTAAAGCCCTACCCAGCCCTTGATCCGAGGTCATGCCGTTATCCTGCGCTCGAGGCCCAGGGATATCGTCTCTGCAATGACAAGTCGAAATCGTGCTGGCTCAAGAAGCCTTACGGCTACGGACCCGAGTATACCGTAAAGACTGATTGTAAGATACACCAAGAAAATATTCGTATCTTGCTGTCGTCCTCCCAGCTAACACGAAAAAGACGAGAACCTTGCCCCGACCGGTGTAGTGCGAGAGGTCAGTCATACAACGCTGGTGATATCGCGGTTCTAACAGCGTCTGCAGTACTGGGTTACCGTAGACCCAACCCCCAATGCAAGCCCCTTAGAATATACATAGGTAGCACGTCTAACAACAACAGCTGTCCCCAGATGGCCAGAAGAAGATCAACGGTGTCGCATTCAATGGAACCTATCCCGGCCCTACCATCGAGGCATGCTGGGGCGACGAGATCGTTGTCCATGTCACGAACCGATACAAGGACAACGGTACCACCGTCCACTGGCACGGAATCCGTCAGCTCGGATCCAACGAGATGGACGGCGTCAACGGCATCACCCAGTGTCCAATTGCCTATAGCCAGGAGTATACTTACCGATTCAACGCCACACAGTACGGCCACACTTGGTATCATAGTCATTACTCCCTCCAGTACCCTGATGGTGTTGCCGGGCCCCTCGTCATCCATGGTCCGACCAGTGAGGAGTGGGATATTGACGTCGGACCGATCCTGATGGCGGACTGGATCCACGACACCGCCTTCGACGCTTTCAACTGCGAGGCCTATTCGTGTGGTGTCAACGGAAGCGAGAGCCCCCCGAAATCGGATACCATTGTTGTCAACGGTATTGGGCCCTTCAAGCAGAGTGATGGCAAATTCACAAACAACTATTTCAAGGCTAAATTCCAGCCGGGGAAGAAGCATCTGCTGCGTCTCATCAACGTCGCCGCGGCATCTAGTTTCGTATTCTCCATCGACAACCACACCATGACCGTGGTAGCCAATGACCTAGTCGCCGTGAAGCCTTACACAACAAATTCCGTCCTTGTCGGAATTGGTGAGTCTCCTTGTTTATGCAGGATGTGGGCTGATGTCCATTTCAGGACAGCGATACACCGTGGTCGTCGAGGCGAACCAGAAGACCGGCTCGTATTGGATGAGGACAGCCCCGGCGGACGGCTGTCATTCATTCCGTACTGACCCAACCACTCATGCCTTTACCCAAGTCAAGGAGACTTCTTCATTCATCGTCTACGAAGGGGCCCCTCCGCTGCCATTCCCGGATAGCAGCTCAGTCAAGCAGCCCAATATTACAACAGCTTGCACAGATGAAACAGAGCACAACGACGGGCGGCTCGAGCCGGTCGTGCGCTGGGACATCAACCCTACACCGACGAACAATGTTAGCCGGGACTCGTTCACAGCTGCGCTCGAGAGCTTCAACATGCCTTGGTTGGTGCCGGACAAGCCGTATGCTCACTGGTTGCTGGCCAACGACACGCTCTCGAACCCGCTCTGGATCGACTTCGGGGCGCCAACCATCCTGCACCCCTTGAAGAGCGACAATTTTTCGTCTATTATCCGATGTATGCCATTTTTTTCCGAGGTTGTACACGATACTAATGGTGTTCCGCAGTCGACCAGTCGGACGGCTTCGTCTTCCTCATCATCGACAGCTTCTTTCTCTTCAACCCCAACGGGCTCTTGCGCGCCATTCCCATCTGTATGTTCAACGCCTTCCAGATAGTGTGACCTACCACTTAGACCATGGCAGCCCATCCGATCCACCTCCACGGGTCCGACTTCGTCATCCTAGCCCAGAACCGCACAAAATACGATCCGAAAACGAGCCCCAAGTTCTTCAACTTTGACAACCCGCCGCGTCGCGACGTCGCCATGCTACCCGGCGGTGGCTATCTCGCGCTCGCCTTTAAACCCGACAACCCGGGCGCGTGGTTAATGCACTGCCATATCGCGTGGCACGCCAGTTCCGGTACGTCCGAGTCCTTGCGTAGCCCCCTTTCGTCCATTCCCGTTGCCCTAGCAACAGAACTACTGGTCTGTCTCGTCTTTTGAAGAGAAAAAAAACTAACATAAAAACTTTGTGTAAAAATCTAGGACTGGCCCTGCAGCTGGTCGTCCGTCCCAAGGAGCTCCGCGATGGAAACGGCGACCTTGGCCCGGTCATCCAGGGCTGCCGGACGTGGAACGAGTGGGCGGCGGTCCACCCATTCGAGCAGACTGACTCGGGCATCTGAGGGCCGTCCAATTTCTGTCTTCGCATCGGGTGGTACCCGGGATGAGATGAGGAGAGTGTGCAAGCCTCTTGTGTTTTTTCTGAGGGTTTGTTGAGATCATGTGTTGAAAAGGGGACTTAGTTGACGAATTCAACATACACGCCCGCTTGGCTCAGTGGTAGAGCGCATCACTAGTAGATTCTTGATCATCCTCTTTGTTTCAAGAGAATTTGTCAGTCGCTGGGTGCATGATGAGGTCATCAGTTCGATTCTGATAGTGGGCAATATGATATACGGAATATGTCAAGGCTTGGATGTCTCGGACTTGATATCCTTCTTTTTTTGCCATCGGCGCCATGAACTGCCGGACATGCAACGAACAGCACATTCTTGTCGAGTTTACGCGACATGATGAGAAACCCTTTCTCTTTTATATTCACTTCTTCACTTCTTCAACCCCTTTAACGCAATGCAAGCATCTCCTTGCTTTCAAGACAAATTCTGGTCATCGCTTGTAGATATGAGAAACGACATTGAAACTCGTCTTTGCACCTCCGAGATGAAACTGACGCAAACAGTCATTTCCTGATTACCAGTGCACGAGGAGGGGTCCCATAATAAGATTTGAGAAGAGTTCTAATTAGATTTGCAGATTTGCAGATAGCCTATTATTCACTCGTTATTCGCTCAACTTGAACGTATCCCCGAGATTGATCCAGACAGCGGTGAAAAACTTGGCAGAGAAGAGCGGGATGGCCCCCACGCTGGTGCTTTGCCATCTGGCTGCAGAGTGCAGCGGACGATCCGGGAACAGAGCTGAGGGCTGAACCGCCGCATCGGTACGTATTCTCCAAATCGGGAGACCCAGAAAACTGGTCAGCCTTTGGAAGACAAGGTGGATTCTCGCCGCAAACTGCTAAGGCTGAGGCGAGGCGAGTTTGCATAGAATCTGCTTCTCAATAGCTCCAAACTCCATTCCCCCATCAGAAATCCATCGAGGTTTGTGCTTGGCAATCGTCGAAGAGCCCAGCACGTGACGGCAGGCCGAACCTGCGCCATTCTCATCCCGATGGCTGTCCTGACAATCGTCCCTGCTGTTAGAGGCCGTGGTTGCGGTCCCCGGCCGGTACGAAATAGTCTACCGGCGCATGCAATCTCACAATTCCTGCCACGCATCAAAAAGCTTAAAAAGCGCAATGACGGCAGTCCGATTAAGTTTCACGATCTTGGGATGCATTTCATGCAAAAAGAAGCCGAGTTATTCCTTTTCAGACGATGCAAAAGAAAGCCAAGACGCGTACCTGAAGGATCTGGCCATGCCGGTGATGTTAACAGGTGCGACTTTCTCCGCATCCGATGAAAACGCGCTAGCGCCAAGCCTAGGCTCAGCTGACGAGCGATAACGCAATTTTTGGGGCAAAGCACCAAAGATTCCCTCCAGCAGGGCCTTGAGTCGGCTGCATATCGGAAAAGCTCCACTCTCCGCCAGACGACGATTTCGCCATTCTGCCATCCTCTTGCACGACGGTCGGCCCCTATCGCCCGCTACCACCCCATGCTGCTATCCTGGAGGGCGAAAACTGTCCCGTTCGTTGGTGATATATCTCCCTCATCAAAGCGACTGGAATTCGGCCGCCCGCGCACGAGTCGTCCACGGTAACCCACATCTCCCGAAGCCATCGCAATCTCGCCGCCCCTCCAACAGGCAGCACGTCGGCGCATCAGCGAATTCTGCCATCCCCCCATTGCGAATCGCATGTCGGCCATTGCGTGGGCCATCCCTACAGCCATCCCGTCTGCCGTAGGATCGCATTGACCCAGACGTGAGACTGGCTCAAACCGCTTGACCGCTCCGTCCTCCGGCCGTTTCTCACGCCCAGTCGACGCTCCCTGTCAGCACGCAATCGTCCTCAGCCCGACTGCGCCCGGCAAGCGAGCCCAATGCCGGCTGCTACGGCTGCCACCATTTAACTGTTCGACGACGCAAGGGCCGGCGAAATAGGGCTCTCGCCCCCCCGTTCCTCATGGAACATGCCAGTTATACAACGATTGCCAACGGTCGCCCGCCGCCTCCGAGTCGCGATGACATCGACACGTCCCCCGATGACGCCGTTTCGGCTTATCTGGTAGCATCACCCCTTGACAAAACCGCTGCTGTCCCCTCCGTCGAGAGCGATAATTCGAGTGGAGGGTTAGACCGGGAGCAGAACTGCAAACGCTTGCGGCCCGAGGAGGCGGACCGACATCGTTCTCTGGATAGCGTGACAACCATGTCGTCGACATTGATCGGCAAGACAGTAACCCCTTTTCTGAGGGAGCACATCCCTAGCCTCTACGCGCCGATCGGCAAGGCCAACAACGAGGAGACGGCCAAGGCGAAAGACCCAAACACCAGGTACTGCTATCGACACCGACCCGATTCGAAATGTCGACGAGCGGCGGACGAGGCCAAGATGATCCAGATACAGAGCAACCTCGACAAGCTTACTTCAGCTGTAAGTCGTTTGAAGCTTCGCCTCGGTCCGCATACTAACTGTGGGTAGGACCAACAGGCAATCACGCATGTCTGGTCTCTGTTCTCGGCCGCGCCGTCTCGACATCGCGAACTCATGCTCCAGGGCATCCTGTCGCAACTTTGCTTCCCTCAACTATCCCTCGTCTCCCGAGAAGTCAGCGAGGCGCTCAAGATCGACTTCATCACGGCCCTCCCCGTCGAGATATCGCAGAAGATTTTGTGTTATCTGGACACTGTAAGCCTCACCAAGGCAGCTCAGGTCAGTCGGAGATGGCGACAGCTGGCAGACGACGATGCTGTGTGGGTGCGCATGTGCGAACAGCACGTCAACAGAAAGTGCACCAAGTGTGGTTGGGGTCTTCCTCTGCTGGAACGTAAGAGGTTACGCAACTATACCAGACAAAGGCAGCTAGCCAAAAACAACCCGAACGGTAGATCGAAGGAGCTGGCCGAGGCACAAGCGGCTGAGAGGAATGGCACCAGCTCCAGCAAGCGATCATGCGACGAGTCTTTCGATGACAGGTCGGATGCCAAGCGACAAAAGGCAAATGGAGTCAATGGCACCAATGGGCACAAAAAACCAGACCAGGAACCCAGGACGCGGAGCTGGAAAGCTGTTTACAAGGATAGGTGGCAGGTGAGTTTCGCCCGATATCCATCGCCCTGACGGTTGTGCTGACTCATGGCGATAGGTGGGGTACAACTGGAAGTACGGACGATGCTCGATCCGAACGTTGAAGGGTCACACCAACGGTGTAACTTGTCTTCAACTGGACGATAACATACTTGCAACGGGATCTTACGATGCCACCATCAAGATCTGTACGTGTTTCGTCTTGGTTACTGGTCACAAAGCTAACTGTCCTAGGGAACATCGAGACGGGCGAAGAGATCAGAACTCTACGGGGACATCAGCGTGGGATTAGGGCCCTCCAGTTTGACGACTCCAAGCTGATCAGTGGAAGTCTTGACAGTAAGTTCCTGGCGAATCGACGGATGGAGCCTGGCCGCTAACTTTTCAAGACACGATCAAGATCTGGAACTGGCACACAGGCGAATGCATCTCGACGCTTCAAGGGCACACAGACGGTGTCATCAGTGTGCACTTTGAAGGAAAGCTGCTCGCAAGCGGCTCGATGGACAAGACTGTCAAGATCTTCGACTTCGACTCGAAGGAGGCGTTCTGCCTCAAGGGCCATAGCGACTGGGTCAACTGCACCCGGCTTGACACGGCTAGCAGGACCGTCCTGTCGGCATCGGACGACACAACAATCAAGCTCTGGGACCTAGACACCAAGCATGTCCTCCGTACCTTTGAGGGACACATCGGACACGTACAACAGGTTATGCCGTTGCCGGCCGAGTACGAGCCGGATGACGAGCTGACAACGGGCATCAATGGCTCCGACAGCACCGATGCTGTGTCGGTCAACAGCGGACGAGGCGAGACGCCTACCTTTTCGTTTTCGCACCCCGACCGCGTTGCTAGCACGTCTAGCTCCCGAGATGATGATATCCGAGCGTTGTACGGACCAACCTTCGCGTCGGACCCGTCTCGACCTTTACCACGACGCTATTTCTTGACCGGCGGTCTTGACAGTACGATTCGGCTCTGGGACAGCGCAACAGGTCGGTGTCTCAAGACGATGTTTGGTCATCTCGAGGGCGTGTGGGCCCTCGCAGGCGACACGATCCGAACGATCAGCGGGGCGAACGACGGCATGGTCAAATGCTGGGAGCCGCGCAGCGGAAAGTGTGATGCGACCTTCACCGGCCATAGAGGGCCGGTGACATGCGTGGGCTTGAGCGACAGCCGCATGGCCAGCGGCGGTGAGGATAGCGAAGTGAGGATTTATTCTTTCAAAGATGTCGGGACCGGCTCGGATGCCGGGACACCGAGTTAGAACAGCGGACCTTAACACCGTGGTTCCACTTTTCCCGAGGCTAGCGGGGACGAGCCGGAGGGATGGCGGTTTACTTTCCATGGGGGCGGTGGACTTTTCGGCCATTTGGCTTCATTACGGGCTTAAACAAAAAGATATCTGGCACTGTAGATTTGTTTTGGCGCTGGAGGTCTTGGGTATTGCTGGGATTGGACGGCCATGGTTGGATTTTGGAAAAGGAGGTTTGGCGTACACATGCATTCGTATATACCCTTCATGACTAGCTATAATAACGACGTTTTGTCCTGGTTCTTTTACCAAGGTCTGTACGAAGTGGTCAGGTGGTGAACCTCGGAGAGTTCTGGGCCGGCACGGGTGGACGAACTCGGCTTTGCCCAAAGTTAACCTCGGCATTGACGCCGCAAGCTGGAAGCCGGATGCATCCGAGCTTGGACCATGATCGGGCCCCGCAACCCCACCAACCCACCAGGCCCCCGGCTGCTCCCCGCAATCACAAGCTCGGCTTGGAGTCGGTTAAAAATACGTCACTCCAAGATCACAAGCCAGCCCGGCTTTTGGCATTCCAGCTCGCGCTGCTGGGCGGTCACGAGGCTTGTAAAAGTGGCCAATTCGACGCGGCAATTGCCCATGTACGCTCTCAATGCTCCCTAGGCGCCCTGCGACGGGACCGGCGCTGTCAGCTGCCAGGTCGAAGCAGAGGAAGCGCGGCCCCGTCGATACCCCGCCAAAGACATGTCAGGAACAGACAAAGAAATCATCGAGCTCCGCTGCCCCGAACCCATGGCATCCATCGACCCTCGGTTCTCCCCTCTGATCCGTCACATCCCGTCATGGTTGCGCTCGCTCGGGTACACGCTGCGCGCGG